AGAAATGATTCATTTTTATTCAGTGCTCGGGAATAATTTCTAAGTATTTGAAAATATTTAGTAACTGTCCAAAATTTCTATTCTTGGAATAGAAAAAGAACATAAATGGGTTTGGTAATTGCACAAAATTTCTTTTTATTAATAATATTTTAAATTTTGTAATGCTTCTTTCTTTTTATTTTTCTTTATTTTTTCTTCTTCTTCCCCTTCCTTGGCCATGGCCAGGTCGCCAGCGCCGGCGAGGGCGTTGTGGCCCTTGCCGGTCACAAGCGAGGACCACCCTCGCCTGCTCCGAAGAGGGCGGCTTGAGGCGAGGGTCGCCCGCGCCAGATCCGACGAGGGCCGCGACGTCCTCGCCAGCCTTTGCCTATGGCCGATCATCGATGGCTGGCGGTTGGCGGCCGGCCACAGGTCAGGAAGAAGAAGAAGAAGAAAAAAAATTTTCTTTTCCATTTCTGATTCTTGTTCCCAAAATGAAGAAGCAATTTTTTTTTGCTTCTTAATTCTGTTCCAAAATTGGTTTTGGGAACAAATTTTTGAAAATTTATGCCCGGGAGCAAAAAATTTACCAAACGGATTTGTGTTACAAAACTGATTCTGGAAACAAAAGAATAGAAATACTTACTGTTTGACCGGTTGTCAAACGCGTCCTAACTTTCCACTCTTCACGTGCATATTAAAAGAAATGCGAAATATCTTGCATGATGGACAATGAAATGAATGAGTACCTGAAAAGAAAATTGTAGTGCCTTGAAAATTTAGAGGATTTCATACTCTCCATCAAAACTCTTGCCACTTCCACCGAATAAGTCAGCTCCAGTGACGTGAATGAGAATCTAGACGAAGCAGAACCAAAAGACGACTCAATGATTGTCAAGTCAACAGTCAATGACGGACCTTGACACCGCATCGGGGAGGCGTCCGGCGCCCTTTTCTTTTCTACGGATCATGATACTAATACCGACTTTCTCTCGGCCATTTTTTGAGCAAATACTTTCATTGACCCAATTCACATGAATCGAGTCAATCACAGTCGTGGATAAACGGCTCTTTCTCATCCACTCTGGAGGGGGCAGACACACCTGCCCAAGAACATGTGACTGTTGCGAGAATGGCGAGGAAGTGAACGGCACCCGACGACATTGGAGGAGTGATGCAAACCTATCGAGCAAGGCTAATCATTCTCGTTTTTGGAGAGGTGGTGACCACTTTCAACATAGAATATTGATTGGCAAGTTTAGATACAAATGTCGCAATATATCGTTTCTGATAATCCTTGTATGTTTGTGGACAAAAATTGACTCCCTCGACCAATTTAGCCGATAAATTGCAAAGAAGATGATCCGCTAATGTTTAATTGACATTTATGTCTTGAAGGAATCAAGAATAGGGCCTTACAAACGAATCCAAAGTGTATACATTACACTACACATGGTGTGTAGATTTTCTCTTGCCATGTTGGTGGCTATCGCTTTGCAGGGACCACCATCCGAAGTGGGATTCTAGTCATAGATTGGAGTTCTCCCTCCCTTTAGTGTAGTTTATAACATAAGACAGTCGTGAGATTAGTTAATACTTGTGTTGGGTGTTTCGAATCCACTGTCTGCTAGTAGATCATGTGACAAAAAAAGCGAAAAAAGACACGGAAATTTAAGTCAATTACCATAATTGCTTAAGCAAGTCTTGTAGGTACTTGATAAATCATAACCTAATCATCCGAGAAATGAAGAAAAATTAGTACATGAGTAGAAGCCATTAGTAAACTATGAAGACATGCTTTAAAATCAACTAGTATTCTACTATTCACTAAAACAGAATTCAATAGTTGCGATGTATACATTAAGTCGTCATAAAAGGAAATGAAAGTACCTTCATAGAATTCGATAGTCGCGATTCCATATTTCACGTCAAAACTCTAACCGGTTCAGACGAATACGTTAACTCCAACTAATCGGATTTGGAGCAATGTGAACTTGATTAGAAAGCCCGTGCATATTCAATAATTTGATTAGACGAATTAAAAGTCTAAGCACTTGATTAGAAATCCGCATCAGTTCGGGGATTAAAAATGAAAATTTATCTAAATCTTATTCCGACCCTTGTATGCCGAGAATTTGACCCTTTTACTTGCCATAATTATAACACGGAGACATTTTACTGGGGCCCACACGCTGTAGTAGTAGTGTTCAACCTAGTAGTCAATACACGTGAAAGAGAATTGAGACAAAACAAGCTACAAGTTGATGATGATGCCGCCAAGGCTTCTGGTCCCCATTTCTCTCGGCCATTTTTTTGAGCAAATACTTTCACGGATCTGATTCGCAATCAATCTACTCAATCAAAGCCATTGACAATGCATTTCTTTATCGTCTGCTTATGAGGAGGTGGACACACCTGTGCAACAGGCGGTCATTACGAGAATGGCAGGGAAGTGAACAACACCAATTGACATTGGTGATTGGATGCAAACCTATCGAGCAGGGATGGATTTTGGAGAGGTGGAAACCATCCTCAAAGGACAGGAATTATTGAGACGAAGACAATAGTGACTTTTGTTTTTCAACAAAGGGACTAGAAATACAGGTTTTTCTCCTTTTTACAATGGGGATAATTTTTCACGAAAGTGTAATTGAGTCTTAAAATTTTCAAAAAGTGTAATTAAGTCCTAAAACTTATTACAAAATACAATCAAGTCCTAAAACTTTCAAAAAGTATAATCAACGAAAGGGTCCCCCACACCAATTTCAAAAGAGTAATAGAATTTTAGAGGATTAGGAATAGTAATTTGTTCTGGAACAAAAATTAAATTAAATTTTACACAGCAAGCACCTACCTCAGCTTTTGCGAAAAGATTGAGTATATTTTACACTACATAATGTAAGTTTTTAAGCTATGATTCGCAGATGCATGAGAAGAGTGATGTGTGGATGCTTGTCCCATTGTGCCATGAGAGCTGCACCTTCGTGAAGCTTCAGAATACCCTGGGGAGTTGCAGCAAAAAATCTCAAATTTCGAACTGGCCTTTTTACTGCGGTTTGTGAAACCCTGTAGGAAAGGAAATCACTAACTCATAACCAGCGAGCTTTAAATTGAATTTGCTACACCAAAAAAAAAAAAAAAACATAACCTAGAATGAAAAGTAGAAATACACAATCTTTTATGTTATTTCAGCTGTTGCAACTACTAATTAATGAATTCTGTCGGCAACTGGTGACAATGTAATTGCGCCGAGGGCATGTCACTTCAGATGTTTAATTTTTCAGTAATGAGTCTCAAGAATGTACAAAAAATGGCAATCAGTGAGCCAAGTGATTGAGCGCGTAGGGAGAAAATCTTTTTTATTTTTTTCTTTTTCTTTTTGGGTGTAAAAATTGACTGCTTTGTGGGTGCACAATTTCGTCATATTAGCACCCAGGTTTTCCATTACCTATACTATAATTACATGACGCAATATTCAATGGTAATATCATATGATTATTACCTTTTCGTACCGCACTAGTTGCGTGGTCTGAACTCTAAATTGACCTAGCTATGCTTGTAAATGTCCTTTTCCCGAGTAATTCTCACGCAACTTCACTTTTTCCAAAGGCTGAAGATTTTATGTGAATGTTATATAATTAGACATGGGGCCTATATGGGTCGGTTTAGTATCCGACCTGACAATCCTTAATTGATAACGCCGCATCACCCATTGGACTTGTCCGGTTGAATTAGGATTAGTTTTGCTCCTCTTTACAATAGGGATAATTTGTCACAATAGGGATAATTTGTCACGAAAGTATAATTAAGTCTTAAAACTTTCAAAAAGTGCAATTAAGTCCTAAAACTTGTCACGAAGTGCAATTGAGTCCCAAAACTTTCAAAAAAAGTGCAATCAAATCCTAAAACTTGTCAAATTAGTCCATCAAGCTCTTTTGTTGATTGCACTTTTTGAAAGTTTTAGGACTCGATTGTACTTTTCATAACAAATTTTAAGACTTAATTGCACTTTGTGAAAGTTTTAGGACTCGATTGTATTTTTGTAACAAGTTTTAGGATTTGATTATACTTTTTGAAAGTTTAAGAATTCAATTGCACCTTCGTGACAAGTTTTAAAGCTTTCAGTGCACTCATCCCAAATATGAATAAACGAATAAAGGTCACCACCCACGGTAATTCTATGTGTGGCTCTCAGTTGGGCTCCATAAAATCCAACAACTGTGGCCGCACCGTGTTCATAGACCTTGGATCAAGCGAGAATTTCTTCATTTTCTTATGCCTATCAGATGGCCAATTGTCCACTAGTTATCTTGTTTTTGTGAGTTTTACACAATACTAAGGCCCCGACTTTCATGTTTTCTGTTTTCTTGTTTCAGTTTCATTTGAAAACAAAAGCATGAGACGGAAAAAAAAAAGCATCTGTTAAGATTTTGAAAATAATTTTCAAATGATAAAAGAAAAATTGAAAAGAAACTTTTTTATGAGTGTTTTCTCTCATGAAAACACGATGGATCGAGAATGAAAACAATAAGCCAAAAGTTCCTTCTCAAGAGGCAACATCAAAAGGGTGTTTGTGGCCAAAATAATTAAGGCGGTGTTCTGTGCATGTGAAACGAGAGTATTGTGGTCCTTAATTTGCTAGGATTGCTCTTCAATATCATTGGTTGCTCATCTATGGGAACCAGAATAAGAGTACATTGACTATGTCTATGCTTATTCCCACCCCGCCAAGGAAAAAGCACAAAACCAAAAAACTGGATCGAACTTATATGCAGAAATGACGTTTACACTTATTCAAAAAGTAAAGATCTTGGCAACCCATTATGGTGTCTCCACCCTCTGTGTTGATCAAAAGAATCCGTATGTGCTCTCTCAAAGAAATTCTGCAATGCCTTGCAATTGTGGCATCTTATCTGCTTATTGTGAAAATGTCATCGGGTGTAAAACTCATGTCTGTTGAAAGTTTTTCTGTGATTGGTTTTCATCTTCTCTTTTTCTGGTTGATTTTCCAGGCAATCTCTTTCTTAGTTGACGTTGAGTTATTTGACTCTCACCTTCGGTATGTAGACCAATCAGTGACATTGAAAGCATGTGCTGGTTTGAATGGTATTAAGTTGGGAGGCCAAGTTCTAACCGTGGTTCAAGCTGTCCCAGATCCAGCAGCAATTGTACTAATTTACCGTATTAAATGCATTATGTTTCTTGTTTCCTACCGGTTCAATTTAGTACGTGCTGACAATGGAAATGGTATATATTAAATTTGAACGCTTCTTTGTTTTCATTTTTCTAGAAATGTAACTGAGCTGTATTTCTTTGTGTTTTTTTCTCTTTGTTAGAAGATGGAAGTAAAGTGGAATATACAGTGTGGAACCCCTTCCGATTAGAGTTGGCAGCTGCCACTCTTGGTGGGGTTGATGATGTTGGAAGCGTGTGTCGGGAGAATCGACTAACCTGTTTGATGCACTATGAACAAAATTTCCAAGATCGTACATTAAATCACCAGCAAACGATGAATGAATCTTCTTCATGTTGGTCCGAATACAATCACAAGGAAAGTATTCTTGTTCCACAGCGTTAATGTCGATTGTCTTCTCTAAATAGATACAGAATCCTTATACGTCAAGAGAGAGAGAGAGAGTTCCGATTAATCTCTTGTCAATTGTTCATCTACTGAGGAAGTTATCTTAACTTCCCTTAAGAAACTCTTCTCACACCTCTTCAAAAGGTATTTCTCAGACACACTTCTTATTAGAGCAAATGGTGTCCTTTGGACACACACATCATGGGCTGATCGACGAAATATATCATCTCCCACTCGCACATGATCGGCTTGCAGATGCTCTATCAAGAACATAAGGCATTCAACATTCATCTACCTTAGAAACAATTCATACTGGCAAGAAAGCCGTGCGACCAGTGAGTACACCTGCACTTGGGAGCTCTAATTATGCACCTGTTAGGGACAACATAATGGCTATAACCCCAAAAATAAATAAATAATTGATGTCTCACGGTGTCCCAGACATATTTTGTTACATCAGTCCAAGTATACCTATCCCTTAAAGGCTATACTTGACTTTTCTCATGAATACCATGTATTTACAATTATTTCCGGAAGCCATTGAAGGCGAAATAATTGGTCGACCAGTAAACACATGTGATAGATGTAAAACAACAATAGTCTTCCTTCGCACTCATGTCTCTCTCCATTTTGGAACAACTGCTTTCCTAAATACGTCCTATAAAGCTATATCTATTCATGACCGCCGGTAACATGCTAAAGTAGCACATTGATCTTCTATTTTGAGAACATAGTCAGAAGTAACATAGGGCACAAAGTAAGGTAAATTATAAATTACCTTAAGGACTCACACGATGAATAAATAGACATAATTATACTTATCTCCCTTATTGGTCAAATAAAACACATATAGTATGAATTACATGCTATAGTGGATTTCTCTTTCTATAAGAGTGTATGTCATTTATTAATCATATCCACTATACGAATCTTAGCCTAAACATAGTCACATGCTTCTCACGTACTCATGTTTAGCCCGAGTGCTATATCGGCTCGCTTTCCACAGTGCCCAATTTAGTATTCGCATCCGGTTACTTTCAGACATATATGATTGTGGGAATATCATGTTCAGTCTTATCACATACGAATAACAGACCTTATCTTGATTCCAATCAAGGCGACATTAAATCGTTTTATGTACTAAACTACTCTTCTAGCATTTATAGTACATATCGTCTCATCTCAACCCGCTTACTATAGCGTTTGAGTTGATTACTCGTGTGAGTGAGCCAATCATTACTTGGTGACATACCTTTCAACAATATATGTGTGTTTGTGCTAGTCTCATAACATTGTACTAATTGATAAAACATCAATTCATTAACAAACAAGTACAATACATATACACACATAATCCAGTGATCCTCAATAATATTACATATCATAATCACATTCTACGTAATCCTAGAGACATCTTGTGGGTCAAGAACACGTCTCTTGGAACAGCCTTCGTAAATGGATCAGCAACCATCCTGTTGGTTGAAATATATTGTAGGACTACTTCCTTCTGCACTATTATATCTCTGATGAAGTTATTCTTTATGTCAATGTGCTTCGTCCTACCATGGTACTTGGGATCTTTCACATAGGCAATGCCTGCTTGACTATCGCAATATACTGTCACTAGTCTTGGGATATCAGTGACAATGGCTAAATTTTTCAAGAAACATTTTAGCCATACTGCTTCTTGCACTGCAGCAGAAGATGCAATAAATTCTGCCTCCATCGTAGATAAAGCTATGCATATCTGTTTCTTGCTATTTCAAGAAATTGCCCAATCATTAAGCAAGAACGCATATCCAGACGTCGATTTACACTCATCTAGGTCTCCTCCCTAATCAGCATCAGAGTATCCTAATAAGCGTAGATCACTCCCTTGTTAGCAAAGTCGATAGTCCATAGTGCCTTTCAAGTATCTCAAGATCCTCTTAACTGCTTTCCAGTGTGCTGGACCAGGATTTGATTGATATCGGCTCACTAACCCTACAGCATGACATATGTCGGGTCGAGTACACATCATAGCATACATCAAACTTCCAACAGCACTAACGTAAGGAACTGTTACCGTTTCTTTTTTTTCTTCTGGAGTCTTAGGACACATCTTAGTACTCAGGCCTTCGTCTTACATGACAGGGGTATCAATGGGATTACAGTGCTGCATATTAAAGCATTCAAGAATCTTCATTTTATAAGACTCTTATGACATAGCAAGGAGTTTATTTGATCGATCTCTTTCAATCTGAACTCCCAATATATATGCAGCTTCTCCCATGTCCTTCATTTCAAAATTAGAAGACAACCATTCTTTTATGATTATAACCAAACCCTTGTCATTCCCAACCAACAGAATATCGTCCACATAAAGAGATAAAATCATAAATTTATCCTCGGACTATTTGATATACACACAGTGATCCTCTTCGATCATCATGAACCCAAAAGAAGTTATGGCTCAATGAAACGAAAATACCACTGTCTAGACAATTGCTTAAGGCCATAAATTGAGCGATGAAGTTTGCAAACTTTTCGCTCTTGACCTTCAGCAATAAAATCTATTGATTGTTTCATATAGATTTTTTCATCTAGTTCTCCATTGAGAAGTGTTGTCTTTACATCCATTTGATATAATTCTAGGTCCAAATGTGCAACAATGGCTATGATAAGGCGTATGGAGGCAAAACTTACAACTGGTGAAAAAGTTTCCTCATAGTCTATACCCTCTTGTTGAGTATAGTCTTTCGCCACAAGGCGAGTCTTATACTTTTCAATGGATCCATCTGTCCTTCGCTTAATCTTGAAAACCCATTTATTTCTAATAGCCTTGCGATCAGGTGGTAGATCAACCAAGTCCCAGACGTGGTTTGTCCTCATAGACTCAATTTCGTCTTCTAAAGCTTTTCTCCATTTTTCTTTATCAGGGGATAAGAGAGCCTCTTGAACTGTTTTAGGCTCCGCATCGTCTTGTGGAGCAATCATAAATGTTTCTCCTTCAATCTCAAATCGACGACGGGAAATACTTTTACGATTACTTTTACGCAACTGAACTTCTTAAGAATTCAGTTCACCAGGCGACACTACACTCCCACTAGGTCTTGTATGTTGAGGTAAATCTGTATTTCCCTCAATAACATTAGTGGGTGTGTTATCGAGATCTTCCATCTCATGTAATTGGAAGTCCATATCGATCTCACCTCTACTAGAAAAAACGTTCTCCAAGAATGCGACATCTTGTGACTCCATTTCAGTCACACTTCCATCAGCTTCTTCACCTATGAACACGTACCCTTTGGAGTGTTCAAAGTATCTATTAAAGATACACTTCTTCCTTCTAGGGCCTAATTTGCCATATTTATGGGAAGAATCATGAACATATGCTGCACACCCTCAAGGTCGTAGATTACTTAAGTCTGGTTTTCTACCAGTCCACAATTCATAAGGGGTGGAAGCAACTGACTTAGAGGGCACACAATTAAATGTATAGGCAGCAGTCAATAATGCATCTCCCCAATATGAGACAGGTAGATTTGCCCGCGTCATCATAGACCTAACCATTTCCAATAGGGTTCTATTCCTTCTTTCTGCAACCCCATTTTGTTGCGGAGTACCAGGAATAGTCGATTGTCTTACAATTCCCTTTTCATCACAAAGAGCCTTGAATTGCTCAGATAGATACTCACGTCCGCGATCGGTTTTCAATGCCTTTATTGGTTTGTTCAACTGATTCTCTACCAAAGCTATAAACCGACTGAAGCAATCCAATGCTTCGGACTTATGGGAGATCAGAAAAACATAACCGAAACACGTGAAGTTATCTATAAAAGTGACGAAATATGAGGCTCCATACCTCGCCCTCACATTTAAAGGACCACAAATGTCAGAAAGTATAAGTTGCAATGAAAGTTCAGCTCTGGTTCCTTTACCAAATGGTTTTGTAGTTATTTTTCTCGCTAGACAATGTTCACATACGGATAGTTCAATATTAGCGAGTGACCCCAAAAGGCTTTCTCTTTCTCTTGTTAATCGTTTCATTTTTTGTAACTCAATGTGACCCAGTCTAGCATGCCAAGTACTTGCATCAATCTCCACATTACTAGAAGATACAATTAAATAAAAACAGCCATTAACATTAACTTTGTACACATCATAGTCAATGTCTAACACCATAAAGTCATTCAATACATAACCAGAACCGTAATAAACTGTTCCAAACAAAATGTCAATACAATCACCATGAAAATTAAATACATAACTTAAGCTAAGAAGAACAACTATAGAGACCAAGTTTCGCCGAATATCTGGAGCATAGAGGATATCATGTAGGAATAGGTTTCAACCACCACGAAAGGTTAATTTACATGTGCCGATACCCTTCACTTCAACTCTTGAGTTATTTCCAACATGTATCCATCTTCTTCCAAGCTGTATTCGACGATACTCCACAAATGCTCCTCGGTCTCTAGTTACGTGGTCTGTTGCTCCTGAGTCTACAGTCCACATTGGATGAGATTTAGCAAGCATTGCAGTGCTAGAAACAAAAGCATTACTCAAAGTAATTGAGTAATGTGGTACCCTTTTCGGCTCAGTGCA